ACCCCATGAAATTTGGGGGGCCTAAAGGCCGGGGGGTCTAACCGACTCCCCATGCCCTGGAGAAGAAGACCCGAGCCATTTTGGCTCAAGTCGACCTGCCGCCCCCGTCCTCCTCGTGGGGGGGGGTACTCGGAAACGGCCCCGCCGAGGGGACAGAGGGTCTCTGTCCTATTGGCGGGGGGGACGTTCTCCTGAGTGGGGGGGAGGCTTGAGACCACACATCGCAACATCTCTGCTCACGAGGGCCCAGGGGGATGCGCCAAGACCTCCTCTGGCCCTTCCGGGAACCTCTGCCCTTGTGGCTTGTTCGGCTGTCCCCCGAACTTGCCCGGCAGGGGCCCTGGAATAGAGATAGAAACAGGGGGACCGGCCTTGTGCGGGGAACTCATAATTTGTGCCCGGGGACCTTTATTTTTAGCAACCTTGACCAACATCTTGGCGTGCCACAGCGGCCAGCAGAAGGCTGGCGAGGCCGTTAATTTAAGCATGCTTTTGCATTTCCCGAGGCACCCGACGTCATGCCTGTTTGTAAACCTGCCCCCACGGGGGCATAACAGTCCGACGTACCTTCGGACCACGGGTCCATAGTACAGCCAAACCCATCCAACAAAATGGTGGATGGGGTGCGCGACTGCGCGGGTCACGAGGACTGCTCGTGGCCCAACCCCGATGCCCCTACTTCAGCATGACATGTTTTTGCACCAGTCTTGCTGACAGCGTCTTCTCATGCTTAGGAGGACGGCATTTAGCCTTGTGTGTCATGTGTTATGGTTGTTACCAAGCAGAGGTGTTCCTCTGACCGGAGCCTCAGTTTCCCGTTGCAGTGCATGAAAGAGGCTCTTTTTCGCAGTGTCTAGCATCTCGGTGTGATTTCTGTAGCCCGGGAGACCCTCTGCTGCAACGTTACTTCATTCAGACTGTCGGGAAAGGCAACCATGCAGTAGCACTACTGTTGAGCACCCCCGACGGCAACGGGGGGGACCTTCCCAATTTTGCCCGGGCAGACCAGAGCCACACCAGAGTCACACACAGAGTCCCCCGGCAACATGACAACCTGGGGGGCTTGGCCCTTGTCAGCCTTCCCATTGCCGTTTCCGCACAATCAGCGGGGAGATATGGTTACTCCTCGAGCCGTTCACACAAAGGCAATGGCTTGCCACCGTGCACCAAGTCCTCGCAGGAGACATGCCAGAGCAGGGCAGTTTGGCGTTCATGGTGGGGGACCATTTTAGCCTCAGCCGTACCACCGACAGTGGGACAATCCAGTACACCCTAGTGGGGGGAGAGAGAGAGAGAGAGAGAGAGAGAGAGAGAGAGCGAGCGAAAACACTCGAGACTCTGGCATAGCACGAGATGCGCAGGGTGCAAGGTTTCGCTTTTGTCCCCAAACATCGAGCAAGCAAGAGAAGCAACAATGTACGATGTGCACATGCGTAGGTACGCACTGTCGCAGGTATGTATACGTACACATCATTATCAACATCACCGTCATCCATCCATCTATCCAGGCATCCATCCATCCGTCCATCTGTCCATCCATCCGTCCGAGCAGGCCAAGTACCATGAGCCGGACAATCGTGTCGCCTTTGGGCTGTCGGAGTCCAGCGTCACGGATCTCAGCTATGTTTTGGCGGCCAGTCCTTTTCTTGTGCTGCTTGGGCAGTAATCGGACAGGCCAAGTCGCAGTTCGTTGATTGGGGAGACCTAAAGTGGGCTCCAGAAGGCTACATGGCGCTGAAGGCACCAGTGCTGTTCCGTTTCCTTTGTGGCTTAGCACGTCGGTTGTAACGAGTCGGTCTGATCAAGGCGGCTGTGGCCAAAATGTTCGAGTCGGAAGTTGCAAGTCTTTGCTCTGCCACCTACTTTCCGGAAGGAGTTCTCAACTATCTTGAGCAGTAGTGTTCCGTTTGCAAATCTACCTTGCGCTGGCTCTGAGGCAGTACAGAAAATGGGAGCCGGGACTTGCTAGGCCTGGTCTTCAGACACTCAGAATCACATGGATGCGCTTTAGGTAGGACACCAAAGGGCCACGTACAAGCTGAAGCGCTGTTGATGCATTAAGCAGCTCTTGGCGGTACGTTTCGCAACTGCGAAGGCAAGATTGTCCCACGAACTGCGAGGTGTGAAGCTTCGACTTGGATGGGAAAAATGGGGCACGCGACATAGGACGTCGTGGATTCCAGGGCTAGCAATCTTGCAGATTCTTGCATCTCATATCTTTCAGGCCGCAGTGGCCTGAGACACTGTGTGCGCAGCTTAATCAACACGACACTGACATGTCGTTCTTGTAGTCGCCTGCGCTCCTCAGGTGTATCCTGCTGAGGGCACCTGCTCCTCACACACAGCACCCCGCAGCAATGAACCAGCATGGAGCATGAATCCATGAACCGGCCTTGCAAGGACTATGGGGTGGTGACCCTGCAGTTGTCCAATGGACCCGGCTTGGAGGCGACCGTATTTTTTGTTCATGTCCTTGCTTACGGGCTTCTTCTGCGAGCGTTTGACACCTGGCACGCGCAAGCGAGGTGTTTGCCCACGGTTCCTGGCAAGTGCGAAGAACTCAGGGAAGCTTGACAGTGCAGCAGGTCCTACGAGTCGGTAGATCACTGAAGCACCGAGAGGCTGGAGGAGCCTCCAGAAGGAGGAGCTCTGCTTTTCGCCAGCAGCCCAGCGGTCGGCAAGGCAGCAGGAATTTCGCACAAAATGTGCGTTGATCTGTGCCGAAGGCCGGAGACATGTTGGAGCGGCTGACAAACGGACAGATCAAGGCTGCTGGCCGGTAGCCCAAAATGTATTAGATAGCGCTCTTCCTGTTCGTCCGAGTGCTATTGTCATGCGCGCAGCTTGTGACACCTCAGACTTTGGCACATTGAAGCAAAATGCAGCTATCCTTGCTGAGCAGCTTTTGTTTGACATTGCTTTGTCTAATGGACCGTTTATAGAGTGCAATGAAGCTGTTGTTGTCGATAATGGTGACGTGAACGAAGATGAGATGATGCGTTGCTGCCAATGTATGCCAGACAGCGGGAATGGCAGACAAACCTATAGACGAGAGGATCCCTATCTGGGGCGTGGGGGCCGACCTCGCGTCAGACGGAAAGGACGCAGCAAGAGGAGAGATGGAGATGGAGGATGCGAAAGGCCCCTGAAGCCGACCGGACCCAGGAGCAGGCGCTACGGGGGACGAGGCTTTGAGGCCGGGGCTCTTCCCGGTCCCCTGCAGCTGAAAGAGAAGGAGTCTGCGTCGCAGCGATGTTCGCCCATGAGCTCGCGTGGCGCAGCCAGTGCATATCTACAAGCAACAGACATGACTGCAAGGGCGGGTGCATGCACACACATGTGGGAGTACTTCAGAAACGAGCAGCTCGGAGCGAAGCAAGCTCGCATATGTGCCGACAGCCGGTCAGGCGCTTCCGCATCGGGTGCATGTTCAGAAAGAATCCATGGAAGCGTCTGGCACCTGGCCTTTGACCCCGCAGATTTGCGGTCGGACGGGCATGTGCTTTTGACAGCCTTGTAGAAGCAACACTCTGCGAATCGAGGTTTAACTTTTTTTGCAGCAGATGCAGTGCAAAGAAAGCACCTTTGTAACGCAGTGCTCCTTTCACACAGCACAGCACAAGAGGTCAGATGGTGGCACAGGTCAGCGTCTCGAGCACAGCCGCTTGAACCTTTCGGATCTGATTGCAGCTTTGCAGAGATTTGCAGAGGTACTCGACAGTCGGAGCCCCGGTCTCTGTGCCAAGCGCCGGAAGAGTCAGTGCAGTGCCCGAGTATTTATTCTGAGTTGTTGTCACTCGAAAGCTTTCTTTTGTCCGTCTGCCACAGAACGTAAGGGCATAGAGCGGCCAACAAGCGAAGTTTCACACGAACCCTGTGCCGCGCAAATTGGAAGGTAATGTAGACGAGTGACAAATTGTGCTGCTGGAGGCGTAACCTGAGCCTACTGCATAAACGCACTTTTGCAGTGTGCACTAGAGTCAGGACATGCAGTCACGCTGCAGCACATTAACTGCAGTATACTACTACGATGCCTGGTTGAAGAGACGACAGCATCATAATCGGAGTGTTGGTCATAAGTCATAATGGTAATTGGCTAGCACTGTGGCAGCGTCTCTGCGCTCGAGGACCCTGAGAATCGAGGATGTAGACATCCCCTGCTTGCTCTGCACATCATGTGAGCTTAAGGTCTCACATCATTTTCCTCCAGCCGGACTCGGACACTTGGGTGGCACCGCCGGCAGCTTGGTAGGGTCTCCTGTGGAAGAGCAGGTCTGAAAGATGATTCACAACCATGGTGCCACGGAGGCTCAAGCCATATTTGCTGAACAATGGCAATGACCTGGCTCCGATCAGGCACCCATCACAAACAGCCCAAGGGTGAATTTCAAGAAGCGGTACCTGAAGGTATGGCGACTGGCATCAGATGAAAGTTCGCTTGGCGTTTGACGGGTCTGGTGCTTTCATGGATTGCAATGTGGTCGACCTCCACCACATCTTTGCTCCTTCGTCCCAAGGTGGTGACAATGAAGACAAACCACCCCGTCTGAGCTGCGCAAGGCGATAAACAGCATCAGTATATATTTGTATACTGAGATGGAACGTGAACGGCCTTGAGAGGCGCCCCAGATTCAGAATCCTCCCCACACCCCTAACTCAAATCTTTTACGTTCCCGAAATAACGAATACACAAAACATTAAGATCACATGTATATGTATGTATATATATATACGTATATGAAGGAAGCTTCTCTGAAATCGGAGCTGGAAACAATAACATCTGATGGAATCAATCAAAGAGATACTACTTCCATTCTCATTCCCTTGATTAGTTACTTGGACCAGAGATCGTTGCTCTCGATTTCACGCCTGTCTTGGCCGACTAAATAGTGTTAATTTCTTTGTTTTTTTTAAATATTGAAAATAAGATCCATTTTTCATTAGAGAAAAAGAGCATACATCGGATTCGGTACGGTATTTTTATTAGAAGCCATGGACATTGATCTCTATTTGTTCTGGCGCTTATAGTATGATGAAAATTTTCGAAAATGATTTTTTTATTAATATTGGTAACTGTTCTTTTTGAAATCTTGGCTTTGAATTTATATTATTATTCATGTTTTTGGGCTATGAGGTATTTGAAATAATATTCTGTGTTTCTAAATATTTTCAATATATAAGATTATATTAAGTTTTTTAGATATTGATTATATAAAGAAGAGACTAGCTTATTAGCTTCTATAATGATGTTTTCTCGAAGATAAGTTTTCTATTTTGATGATACATAGATAGAAAATATTATTTCTGAATTCTTTATGGATCTTAAAATAACAAGGACTAAATTTTTCTATTGATAAAATTCTAGAAAGGTCTATATTTGTTCAAATATTTAAAATAGATTCATAGGATTTGATAAGAATTTTCCACACGAATATTGATTTGATAAATTTTGATAGAAAGATTTCTATATTTATTTCTGATTGAAGTTATTAAGAAATTATATTTCTGAATTTTTTCTTCTAAAGAAAAAATTCTTGGATAAAGATTATTTCCGAATTGAAAAAAATTCTAATTGAATTTTTGTTTAGACTTACGAATAATTAGAAATATCGACAAGTTTTTTTTTTTAAATATATCTCTATTTGTTTCGATTTTCTATTTGATACGAATTATAAATCATAATTTGATGAAGGTTAGCATGATTTTCTTATTCGATATTTTTATTTGATATTTGATTGAAATAAGAATTAAGAGTAGGAATTCGCGGAAGATGGTATGCTTATTATTTCGTGATATACGATAAGGAGCTCTTCTGTCTGGGCTTGAAGGCACCGTTTTCTATCCCAGTAGATATCTGAAAATTTGATAAAGTACTTTTATGTTTGAGACGGAAAGTTCGATAAGGTGCTGTATAACAGAAATATACGGTGGGGGAGCAAGATGATTTAAATTCTATCAAGTGCCAAGCAAAACCTAACGAATTTATTTGGAAGAAGATATAATTGGCGCCTTGTGCCTTGAGATATCGAACTCCGGATTAAGCGTCTTACGTTCTGGCAACAAGTTGCTCGTTCACCTGATCTATAGGAAGCCCTTTTGGCTACCATGTTCGGTCATTTTGGCTTTGGTAATTCCATATTTTCTCTTGATAGTGGTAAATCATCTGGCACTATATATGCTTGGATATTGTAATTATGCGAAATAATTTAAGTTTTGCGACTATCGGATCTTGTTATTCGTATTTTTGAATATATGGATGGCAAATCTCTTCTGTTCTTCATGGCTTACTTGCGAGAGGAGTTCGTTCATGTGGATTGCTCGATATTTCGTAAGGTATTTCTATTGGCGACAATCCCCCCATCTGGGGATATTCAAGTTCCTCTTTCGTGTCCACTGCAACCGCCCGTCGACATTCCCGAATATGAAGATATTTGCATGGATAAATTGCCTGATGATAATGTATGTCGTGTTAGCTGTTCTTCGTTTCGCACACTACAGGTTCACAGATGTGGAGCAAAGGATCATAAATTCGTGGCCCCAATATATCCTCTCGCTATTTCCAATCAGTGCCCATGGAGCCATATGATTTATAATTCTCTTCAGCAGATCAGGCGTCACATCGAAGGCGATATCAGGGCAAAGGGAATTTTATTCTTATATCTTTATAGCCTGTTGATTCGTTGGTTTTCAATAAATATAATTATGAATCTTCATCAATTTCGGGTCTTCAATTTTATTTGTGGGCGTATTATGAGGGACCTGATTTCACTACAGATTGGATTTGAAGTCTTTTCTATTTGCGAGGTCTTTGTATATCCGTGCTGTGTTGTGCAATCGCCAGTCATGAATTAGATGGCTAATGATGATCACGTATCCAAATAACGGAGGATAGATGATATTCATGATGGGCATAATCACGACCTCCTTGAGATTTTGGCTAAATTGAAATTGTGTTCCGCTAATGAAATGAAGGAGCGCTTCAAACGGCGATTTTCCAAATGATACTAGTGCCAGCAGATTACGATTTCGTTACAACTACAAAGAATATGATTCTTGTATTCGTGGATCGTATTCGGGGCAAAGGTGGGAAACATGATCTTGGAGAATCATATATTTATTTGTGTTCTATTATTATCGGGAAGGCTTTGAATTTCGTGCCACCAGAGGCTAAAGCGAGACTATAAAATCATCTGGATGATTTAAATCGTGGGGATCCGTCAAATCTCTTCAATAAGATCATATATGCTCGCATGAAGTAGATATTTGACAAGAAATTCATGTGGTTCTTTTTTTCTGTGTGCCCTTCTATGGAAGGCATCTTGGATCGTAATGGTAGCCTTGTCCAAGCTTGGAGATCAGGAGAAATATGGCATAGCTCCGAACTCCAAATTGGAGCGGGATATTCAGGCTAAAAGCTTGACGCTTTGAAATAAATATGGGTCCCTTTGTCGCCTGCCCGCTACAGGCGTTTGTGAGTATTCTGGAGGCAATTGTAGTGTAACGTGGCGGTTCTGGCTCCAAGGATCGTATTTTCTTTTCTCAATGAATTTCTCAATGAAAGATTGAGCAAGGATCGCAAATTTTTGACGCTTGTCGATCAATATCCAGAAGTGGCGCTATGTTATATTATATTCGTCTCATATGATTCCGAATATGAGGTGATAATAATGATGATATATTCAAGATTCTCGCTCTTAAAATATGATCTCTAATTTCTCTATTCGAAATCTGAATTTAAAAATCTTTGCCAATAATTTCTTGATTTAGTTGGATCATATAAAATGAAATTTCCGGGAATCATAGGATCTTTTGACAGATATATATTCGTCCTAGTAATATATATATCATTATCTGAATCTTGATTATATTAGCTGAATCTAGTCGATGACATCTCTTTTTCCGATATTTCGAGAGACTTCCTCTACGATAAATATATTATGAAATCTTAGATGATTCTCAATTTTGAAAATATCATTAATCTAATATAAATAATAAATATAAAATCATAATCTTTCAATATAATTTCTTATCTTATTATTATCAAAAGATATGGATTGTCTTCTGAATCTTTATCTCTAATTTTTATTTTATTCAAGGTTGGAATTGAAATCGTTCCGAATTCATATCTGATATTATATTATGACATTTTTTCTGGAGATTAAGATCAAGGGAGAATTGGGAGATCATAACTAGAGATATATATCGATAAAAAAGAAATCTCCGAGCTAGAATATCTATCGAATAATAAGACTTATTAGATAATTTCTGAAGATCTAAGTTATGACGGTCTAACGAAAAAAGAAGAAATAAATTGGATTTCATAGCCATTTTCTAATAAGATTACGAAATCAGATGATCTAGCTCGCTTCAAATTTATGACGAGATCATCGATAATTATTATTTCTAAGAAGGATGATGGAAAATTTTAAATCATAATATTGAAATAAATCGATAAGAAAGAAATAGCTTTCATATTGAATTATCTTCTTAATAGAATCATAAGCATAATCATATTATCGGCAACGATATCAATATAGATCTCAAAAAAATATAGCGAGCTCTCGGAAATAAATCGATAATTATGAGAAATAATAATAGAATAAATCACCATCGAATATTAATAGTCGGCAATAGATAATTATAAAGAAAATCAAAATAATAAGAGATAATCAATATCAATATGACAAAAAAAATCTTATAAAGATCGAATAATGGTAATATAAAAATCTAAATAGAAATCGATTTCAGATAAATATTTTAATTTTAAT